TCCTCAGCACCGACTTCTCAACGCGATCCTCAGAGGAAGGCGGCGTCGTCAGTGGACTAAATCGCAATGAATCCCAACATCGCACTGCCTGTCTCTTTCTCTGCTCGCTGCTCCTTCTGCACACAGCCGTCTACAGTCTCATTGCCCTTACCGTTGATAACTCCCAAAACGCCATCAAATGTCTACACAGGCTAGCCTCTGCTCTAGCTGAATCTTCTAACGCAGACGCCCTCAAGGACCATCTTAAGAACGTATTCTCACAGGCCATTGCTGCCTCTAATGCCGGGCCTTTAATCTTTGGCCGAGCTAAACCTTTGACGTCGTCCTGCTCTGCAGAGGCAATGCCGGGAGATGATGGAGGGGAGGCGGGAAATGTGTTGGCCGTGGGAGTTTCCTTTGCTGGTCGAAACTCGGCTCTCAAAAACTTCGACTTCCAGTATGCCCTGCCATCGGCACTCAAGGCTGTGAAGAGCTTTGGCCACTTGGCGGCTTCTGTTGATTTGCCCAAGCAGGACGCCGCAGAGTTGTGTGCGCTTGCGGAAGCACTTTCAATCCAATCAGCTGCCTTCCTTAAGGACGATGCACATGGTTTTCCATTGCCATCGCAGAATTCACAATCGTCCAATTTCCGCACTGTATATGACTAAACCTCATGACTTGTCCACTCCAGGACCCTCGAAGTAATTGTAACAGTACAGTACATAAAGTATGTTTCAGCACCTAACAGTTTAAGTTTGCGTGTTCCCTCTCTTTATTCGTTGTTCCAAGTATATCTGTTGGGCTTTAGACAGTGCTCCATCTTCAGAAGTGATTCTATAGGGCTGTGTCTACCCAGGGGCATTTTCTATAAGCGGTCGAAAGAAGTTTGTTTTATTGTCTATTGTAATGCATAAAACAAGTTTTTACTGCTGACATGAACAATAGTGGCTTATGATCCATTTCGGGTAAGATACAGTTCGAGATATAGGGCTAACTGTGCTACGGATGTCTGCGTTTAACATTCACGCGTGCTGATATATCCACTTTTTCCTTTCTGCAGCTGTGGAAGTTCTTAGTCTAGCCGAGCTCACCAATGCCTTTTCGATCAGAACGTTTGCCAAAGGCAGATTTAGTACGATTGACACAAAGCTGTTATTGATTGCGAGTATGACAGGCGTCCGAGACCTGCGTGACTTTCCGGACCAACTTTTGAAAGACGAACTTTGTCTTTCTCTTCGTGACGACCATCTGAAGCAAATTATTTGCCCCTGGGGTGCAGAGACTGATGCAACCCCTGTCCGATTTTGCAGCTGGCCAATCAACCTGGTGTCGTCTCTGCGGTATCTGTCATGGCGCACAATTTTATTTATGGTTGGAACTCCGGGCGGACTGTACCACTGCTGTCCTACACCAGAACGTTGGTACCATTCCTTCAGAGAAAACCTTTAGCAGATTTGTGTTAGTCTCTATAGTTATTCCCATTATGGTTTTTTATTTATTTATTTATTTATTGCCCCTTTACAGGTAAGATCAAACTAAGGTTGGTTGGTAAAGCACCGCTTGGACGCCTCCTAAACCCTGGAAGACAGGAAAAAACCTAAAACAAACTCCCTCTTTATCAGTCAATATTGACATCTTTATTTTTGTGCTTGGTCGATATTGGGGGAAATATAGTTTATTTTAAGTAAAA